CTCTCGCCGTTTGGGCCCTCTACTTTTACGCTCCGGGAGCAGCTTGCCTTTCAAACTTCCGACAATTAACGAAAGGGGAAGCCTGCTGCAAAGGCGCATCTCCCGGAAAGAGAAAGGCGATCGGTCAGCCAAGAGCCCGGCTGTTTCAGACTTTAAGCCTGCGATACAGGCAACAGAGGCCCAAGCAAAGAAGGCGATCCAAGAAAAGGGGGGGGGGAAACCTGCTTTCCTTTCCAGCAAAAGTTACTTTTCCAAAACTGCCTTAAATGAAGAAGTGACTCCCCCCCCCACCTCGAATAATTGACTTTCTCCTGGCTTCTCCAGCCTTCCCGGGCAGGAAGAGATCAGCCCCGACCGGCTTTTGTTCCCCAAAGGCTAAAGTCGATCGCTCGCTTGTCCGATCCAAGGGGCGCACGGGCACCCCGAGACCCGCTCCAGGCCCCCACTAAGCCACGATTCCCGGTTTGTAGAAACGTTGGGGGGGAGAAAGGCTGTTTCAGACTTTAAGCCTGCGATACAGGCAACGGCGTGCGCTTCTCCCAGCCCAGAAGGGGCTCTCAGGCTAGCGCTTGTTGTGAAGGAAGAAGAGGGAGGGGAAGGGCGATCCGGATCCCGCTGACCTGCGTGCACCAGCAGAAGTCAATCCGGTTGCTGCACAAGGAGTCCCTGGGGAGGGCGGGGCCTTGCTCTGCACCTGCGCTCTTCGCGTGCCCCCTGCACGGTAGGGTTTGTGCAGGCTGCCACCAAGCAGCATTTCCCACAAACAAGTGAGCTGGGAAGGAGCGGAGCGGGGGGGGGGGAGGAAGGCGACACGGGGGGAGGAAGGCGACGCCGCGTACCACCAGCCAGGTGGTCGCGTACCACCAGTGGTACGCGTACCACCGGTTGAAAAGCCCTGGTATAGGTGGTACCTTGCTCAATAGTAGTAACTGTGAGAGGGATCTGTGAGTCCTAGTGGACAATCATTTAAATATGAGCCAGCAGTGTGCTGCAGCTGCCAAAAAAGCCAACACAGTGCTGGGCTGCATTAACAGAGGGATAGAATCAAGATCACGTGAAGTGTTAATACCACTTTACAAGGCCTTGGTAAGGCCACACTTGGAATACTGCATCCAGTTTTGGTCACCACGATGTAAAACAGATGTTGAGACTCTAGAAAGAGTACAGAGAAGAGCAACAAAAATGATCAGGGGACTGGAGGCTAAAGCATATAAGGAACAGTTGCTGGAATTGGCCATGTCTACTTTAATGAAGAGAAGGACAAGGGGTGACATGATAGCAGCGTTCCAATATCTCAGGGGCTGCCACAAAGAAGAGGGAGATCAACCTATTCTCCAAGCACCTGAAGGCAGGAGAAGCAGCAACGGATGGAAACTAACCAAAGAGAGAAGCAACCTAGAACTAAGGAGAAATTTCCTGACAGTTAGAACAATTAACCAGTGGAACAACCTGCCTCCAGAAGCGGTGAATGCTCCAACACTGGAAGTTTTTAAGAAGAGACTGGACAGCCATTTGTCCGAAATGGTATAGGGTTTCCTGCCTGAGCAGGGGGTTGGACCCGATGACCTCCAAGGTCCCTTCCAACTTTATTATTATTATTATTAATAAACCTCCAAGGTCCCTTCCAATATCATCATCATCATTATTATTATTGTTATTATTATTCGCACAGTCAGCCAGATGTTCAGACTGGATTTGGCATTTTTGTCTACCTATCGAGTTCTTACCCAGGACCTGGGATAGGCAGATGTGGATGTTTGATGGTATTACTGATATTGTCGCAGGATGGAAGCAGTTCCTATTATTATTATTATTATTATTATTATTATTATTATTGTTGTTGTTGTTGTTGTTGTTGTTGTTGTTGTTGTTGTTGTTGACTTACCAATTTGTTGTTTGTATATACACTGAGAACTTAAGCATTGGAGACAAATTCCTTTTGTGTCCAATCACACTTGACCAATAAAGAATATTCCTATTCTTATTGACTTGATCGATTACAGGTAGTCCTCGACTTACAACAGTTCATTTAGTGACCATTCAAAATTACAAGGGCACTGAAAAAAGTGACTTATGGCCATTTTTCACAGTTATGACTGTTGCAGAATCCCCACGGTCATGTGATTTACATTCGGATGCCTGACAACTGGTTCGTATTTATGACTGTTGCAGTGTCCTGGGATCATGTGATCATCTTTTGCGATCTTTTGACAAGCAAAGTCAGTGGGGAAGCTGGATTCACTTAACGACCATATTAATTAAACTGCAGTGATTCACTTAACAAATGTGGTAAGTTGTAAAATGGGGCAAAACTCAATGAATTTCTCACTTAGCAACATAAATTCTGGGTCCAATTGCGGTTGTAAGTCGAGGACTACCTGTATTCAAGTCATAAATAGCAATTATAGTAAACATAATGATTAGACAATTAAGATCGCCAAAAGTCTTAATAAAATTACTAGGGATGTTACTATATGTATTCTTTTTATTCAACCACATCAGAGATGATTTCCTTGTCTTTTTTTTAAAGAAACATATCCATAGCTACAGAACCATTCCAACAGAATTTAAAAGCAGCTTGAGGAGTCCTCCAGAAAATGGCGCACTGAAAGGTGGGGTGTTTTTTCTCTCCCTGCCGACAAACAGCTGACAAACAACTGGCCAAAGCCAGTTCTTTCACAGCATGGTCCCTGGAATTTGAACATGAGTATCTTGGAATACTACATGATGACCCTCAGATGACCATGTACTTGCCTGGGAAGAGAATCCAGAGGATTGCAATTCTCAGTAAGACCAGTCAGAGTGGTAAGGTCTCCATCTTTTCCTGTTGCTGTTTGTATCCTTAGGGGTGCCTGTTTTAACATCACATTTTGAAGGGTTTTTTTTGTTTTTTGTTTTGCTTTTGACTAACATTTTTAACTGTTAAATAACCTGGCTGAATGCTGAAGTGCTCTACACCCCCCGTTGGATTATAAATGTGTGCTTTCATCATTGTACTTTGGAGTTATAAAATATACTTTGACTTTCACCTCGCCGCAAGGATGTCAATGAGGCTTCTCCTTTTTGCAGTGAAAGTGATTTGATCTGACTTATACTGGATTCTTATTGTAAGGATTTTACTAGTTTTTAAAAGAACTCTGTTATTCCATTTTATTTTTGTACATATTTCTGTTTTTTATTTCAAAAGATGAGAACTTTCCTTTTTTCCCATTTGCTTTCTACTGTGGGAACTATTATCTCAGTTTCTTTTGCGATTACTTTGTTAAGAAACACTTACTTTCTTTGCCCTTGAGAAGAAACTGTCTATACTTTGCTGTGAAAGCTCAGCTATAAGAGGGGTTTGGATTATATTAAAATCAAAGCAACAATAAATTAAGGACTTTGAACACTACATATCATATATTCTCTACAATGCCCCCCAAAATAGTTATAAAAAAAAGATGGGAGCTGGATGATTTTAATGTTAAAGCCTTGTGATATTTTTAATATTATATAGCAATTTTGCCAATATATAGAAGTTCATACATTGTGGACCTGTTTTGCAGGGGGGGGGGACAATTACTATTGCTGAATTATATTTATCAGTTTTCAACCAGGGGGGACATTTTATGTGTATGTTTGATATTTTGTTTACACACCTTTTTTTTCTTTTCTTTTTCTTTTTGTCTTTGTTTTGTTCTTTTTTTTCTTTCTTCTTTTTGGATTTTGTATTTTAACTTTGGAAATAAATAAATAAAAAATTATCAATAAAAAAAGAATTTAAGAGAGGTTTGTGTCAGTTATAGAAGATAGAAAGAAGACGATCACAGTTGAAACATTACACTCTCAAGATTTACATTTGAAAATTACATATTTAACCAACACAATCTCAGTCTTGGCAACTGCTTCCAGAATTCTATAGCAGTCGTGTTCAGTCAGAAGGCCATATCCTTCTGAACAGTATCCCAGGCTGCTTGACTCATCAAAATTTACAGTTTGGAGATACAATTCTGAACTGCCCCAAAACCACTGTAGTCTTAAATTATATTCATGCTCATTTTTAGATAGCATTGTATAAGACTTTTTAAAACAAGATCCTTTTACTAGAAGTCAGGACAGAATTGCTTCCTTTCAACAGATTAGTATCATTTCTCAAAAAAAATATTATTCTATTTGTACCATTTCCTTAATATATGATATAGATGGGTATTCACACTGCCAAACGGACTACAGGCTACAGGTTTTTCAGTGGTGATCTCTAAGCTTTTTGTCTTAAAACACAACTAACAAATTGGTCCTTTTAACCAACAAAACGTTGTATATGTAGGACTTTTCATGATTGTGTATATTAGAGTTTGGATTTTAAGTGTCAATATCTTGACCATTTTAAACCAATTCCTTATTTTGAACTTAATAGCAAATTATAAATTGTCAAAACTAGTAAATATAAATAAAACAGCAAAGATAAATAACAAATTTAAAAAACAAACTATAAAATTCTACCAAAGAAACTTTGGTAGACATAAAAACATAGAATCATAGGGGACTGGATTCAATATAGCTATAATTAAAGTACAAAGTAAGTCTGGACCAAATCTACCATATTAAATTTTAACTTTAGCATGGTGTTTAAACGTGCAACATAAACATCAGCAACTGAGAAAAATTATGGAGGAAATAAATATTGGACTTTTGCCAAAAGTATGTTTAGAATTAAGTTCATGAAAATCAACATACCAAAGTGTGCTGAACCACTGCTACTTTTACTTTGTATAGAGGTACTGCACGTCTGGGTCCCAGGTTGTACTGTGCCTGCTTGATTTACACTCCTGTGTAATTTCCTATAGGAAAATTCATCACTGTCATGTAGGGATGGTGTCCGAGGCCTAAAATGCCTCCATTTACATGATTTGAAATTGACTAGTATCTGACTGAGGTCTTTAAAGAAATATCTGTCCGAGGTATTTGTTTCTGAGGTATTGGCAAATTGATTGACTGAAGGGTATAGTTGTGAGGAAAGTATTTCTGAATCCAGCTGGCAAAATGGATTGTTGTTTTCTGAATATGCTCGGTCCAGTAGCACCCTAAAAATGGAAAGAAGGCTATTTTTAATTACATATAAGCCAAAGTGTTATTCCTATCTTCATCCAAAACCTATTTTTAAAACATCAGGAAGAAATAGTAGGGAAGTTCTCTGTGAAAATATTTTTCAAACTGGTTGCTTCAACTATCAGAAAAACATTCACAACAGGGCCCTGCACAATTTGAAAATTGTTTGGAAGGAATGGTCAGACCCCCATGAAAAACCTGCACTTCTCTCCTACTTATTAAAGCATCAGGTCTTTTTTCTTGCTTTCACATTTAGTCTGAAAGAAGGTGCTACTACTTAAGGAGTTGACTAATCAAAATGAATCTAATTAATGGTAATTAATAATAGATTTATGGGGAAGCTTGAAATAAACTGGCTTTTTTAATGTATAGTAAAAAGGTTTCATGCTTGGGCGAGTTAAAAAACAGTTCTTCCAGATCAATTTTTAAAGTAAGCTCAGCCCTATTTAAGAGCTACATATAACAAAGCAAGACAACATACAATGAAAGACTCACAAACGCCAACTTGCTACATGCAGAGTAATTGCAAGACCACCTCCTACCAAACACCTCCCTTCGACCAGTCCGCTCCCACAGAGAGGGCCTCCTTAGGGTACCGTCGGCCAGACAATGCCGGCTGGCGACCCCCAGGGGGAGAGCCTTCTCTGTGGCAGCTCCTGCCCTCTGGAATGACCTACCCCCCGACCTACGTACAGTTGCGGACCTGCGCCTTTTTCGCCGAGCCCTGAAGGCTCATCTATTCCGTATGGCCGGCCTGGCGTAGTTTGATTATGTTTTAGTGGGGGTTTTGTATGGGGTATTTTTAGAGCAGGCCTGTTATTTAATTTGATTTTAGACAGAAATTTGTGTATATTTATTGTGGTTTTTATTATCGCCTGTTCACCGCCCTGAGTCCCGTAAGGGAGATAGGGCGGTATATAAATTCAATAAATAATAATAATAATAA